GAACAGAGGCTTACTAACCTAGTTACTGAATTAACCCATTTTCAAGGATGGCCTTACATGCAGGATGACCAGCTGGTCAAATGACCCAGTTTTGCCTCACTTGAAGCCACAAAAGTTAGCATTCTTATAGAAGTTCATCTCCTAGCTCCCTTTACCTTTATGTGTGTTGTGTCAACACAGTGAAAATCTGGGATGGGGCTGAGAAAAGTTTAAATCTGACAAGTGAAATAATTTTTGCCATATTCTCTTACCATGTTTAAATGGTTGACTATTTCATATACTTTTCTTTTTATAGCATGTTTTGTGCTGTTGTAATTCCTGTACTATAGAAAAGACAAACATGTTAAGATGAGATCATAATTATAGGAAGAAGGAAGTGAAGGAGAGAGACAAAGAACATATCAGGATCATATCAGGACATAAAGGATCATTGAATTTGCTGATTCAGACAAAAGTAATATTTTTATCTAAGCAGTCCAAATAATTCTTTTGTGCTGGTTTTTAATCTGCATTTGTGCCTTTAATATATTCAGATTATTAACTTTTCAGCAGCATAGACGGGCTATCCTCCTAGTTGGAGAAAATTTTGGTCAGCCTACTGAGGTGCTTTCCTAATTGATGCCATATATCTATGTTCAGAGAAGTGTGAGATAAGCATTCTCCACTAGATATCTTATTCTTCATGTGTTGTCAACTTGGATAAACAACTAGTGCAGGAATGTTTCAAAGAAATCTATAGAAGTGTTTTACCATTGTGGGATAAAAATAAATTTATATGAAATCCAGGAAAAACAAATGTGCAAATTAGAGTATATTTACAAATCTCTCTTTAACTTTGTAAATATTGGTTGGGTCCAATAACAAAAATATATATCAAAATTTATGATAAAGCACATTTTAAGAGAAATCCAGTTAGGATGTTTGTTTATGTCTTCAAAAATGCCTACATTAAAAAAGGCAGAAATCAACTCAGAAAAAAATGGAACGATATCCAGTTACTTACCATTTTGTTGTCCACAACCACGTAAAACTCAATGTATTTTTTGACCTGCAAGTACCTGTCTTGCTAAACA